TATTCATTTAATTCTATTTATTACTAATTTGTACTAACATACAGAATGATTATATTACTAATTTAACCAAATTGTCTTATGTTTAAATAAGATCTTGGTGTACTTTCTCTATACTGCGTTTCTGTTGCATTAGGGGTTTAGGCGTTTAAATTCCCAACAACTGGTATCAGAGCGTGAAACGATCTAGAGGAAGTCAGATTCAAGTGGGAGCCATGGCCGCAGATGAGGGAAAGGTGAGAATAGAGAAGTTTGATGGATCAGATTTCGGATTCTGGAAAATGCAGATAGAGGATTATCTGTATCAGAAAAATCTGTATCAACCTCTCTCGGGGAAGAAGCCGGAGGGTATGAAGGAAGAAGATTGGAATCTTCTGGACAGAAAAGCCCTCGGGGTTATTCGTTTGACGTTAACCCGCAATGTTGCTTTTAACATTGCAAAGGAGAAGACCACGGCAGATCTTATGGCAGCACTCTCCAATATGTATGAGAAGCCATCAGCCTCAAATAAAGTCCATTTGATGAGGCGGTTGTTTAATCTGCGAATGGCGGAAGGTGCATCGGTAGCACATCATCTCAATGAACTCAATACAGTCACGACCCAATTGAGTTCAGTTGATATTGAGTTTGATGAGGAAGTTCGAGCGTTGATCCTTTTGTCTTCCCTACCAGAGAGTTGGAACGCTACGGTCACAGCTGTGAGTAGCTCATCGGGAAGCAATAAGTTGAAGTTTGACGACGTTCGTGATCTGGTTCTCAGTGAGGAGATCCGACGGAGAGAGTCGGGTGAAGCTACAACCTCTTCAGTATTGCATACAGAGTCAAGAGGTAAAAGTTCAACCAGAGGAAATGGATCAGATGATAGGAGATCCAAATCCAGAAATCCCAACAGTTCGAAGGCTATCGAGTGTTGGAAGTGCGGGAAAACCGGGCACTACAAGAATCAGTGCAGGAGTGCACGGGAGGAGTGGGAGGCAAATGCAGATGTGAACGTTGCCTCCACCTCAGGAGGAGATGATGCGCTGATATGCTCTTTGGAGAGCAAGGAGGAGTCTTGGGTGTTGGACTCGGGAGCATCATTCCATGCTACTTCTCAGAAAGAATTCCTCGAGAAGTATATCCCCGGAAACCTTGGAAATGTATATCTTGGTGACGATCAAGCATGTGCCATTATTGGCAAAGGTGTAGTGAAGATTAAGCTGAATGGGTCAGTATGGGAGCTGAAGGATGTCAGGTATATTCCCGACCTGAAGAGGAACTTAATCTCAGTAAGCCAGCTGGCTAGTGAAGGCTACACGATGACTTTCCATGGAGATGACTGGAGGATTTCGAAGGGCGCAATGACGATTGCCAGAGGTAGGAAGACTGGTACCCTGTATATGACAGCAGGTGCACGTTGTTCGATCTCAGTTGCGGCATGCAATGAGACATCAAAGCTGTGGCACCAGAGACTCGGTCATATGAGTGAAAAGGGGATGAAGGTTATGCACACAAAGAGAAAACTCCCAGGTTTACAATCAGTAGAGATTGATGTGTGTGAAGAATGCATACTTGGAAAGCAGAAGAGAGTTAGCTTTCAGGCAAGTAGCAGACCCCCCAGGAAGCAGAAGCTAGAGCTTGTTCACTCAGATGTTTGGGGACCAACAACCACCGCGTCGATTGGTGGGAAACACTACTTCGTGACTTTTATTGATGATCACTCTCGGAAAGTATGGGTCTACTTTCTGAAGAAAAAGTCAGAAGTGTTTGAGGCTTTCAGAAGATGGAAAGCCATGGTCGAGAATGAGACCGGTTTGAGGGTAAAGAAACTCAGAACAGACAATGGTGGTGAGTATGAAGACACCAGATTCAAGAAGTTCTGCTATGAGCACGGTATCAGAATGGAGAGGACCGTGCCCGGCACGCCTCAGCACAATGGTGTGGCTGAGCGCATGAATAGAACGTTGACAGAGAGAGCCAGAAGCATTCGGATGCAGTCAGGTCTACCGAAGCAGTTCTGGGCAGAAGCAGTCAACACAGCAGCTTACTTGATCAACCGAGGTCCATCGGTTCCATTGGAGCACAGAATACCAGAAGAGGTATGGTGCGGAAAGGAGGTAACCCTCTCACATCTCAAAGTTTTCGGTTGTGTAGCTTATGTGCATATAAGTGATCAAGGCAGGAATGAGCCTGATCCCAAGTCCAAGAAATGCACATTCATCGGGTATGGTGAAGACGAGTTCGGCTACCGCATTTGGGACAACGAAAACAAGAAGGTGATCAGGTGCAGAGATGTGACATTCAACGAGAAGGTGATGTATAAGGACATGCACAAAACAGATGACGGTGACTCAGAGAGCGAGTCAACATTTGTAGATGCAGATGATGTTCCGGATAACCTCTCGGAAGAACCCAATGCAGAAGATCCTCAGCCAGAAGAGACTGTTGGACAGAATGGTGCGCAGAAGCCCGACGCACCAGCTCCGATGTTAAGGAGAAGTACTCGTCCTCCTGTGTCTAACAGCAGATACATGAATTATATGTTGCTGACAAATGGAGGAGAGTCTGAAAGCTTTGATGAAGCTTGTCAGAGTGGAGATGCGAGCAAGTGGGAGTTTGCTGCGAAAGAAGAGAAGAAATCTCTGATCTCCAACCAGACATGGGGACTAGCTGAGTTGCCCATGGGGAAGAAGGCACGTCACAACAAGTGGGTGTATCGAGTGAAGAAGGAACAGGGTGGTTCCAGAAGATACAGAGCCCGACGATTTGTTAAAGGATTTCAACAGAATATCCAAGGAAGAAAGGATCCCGCGGATATGTTGACAAAGGCAGCGACCTTTCAGAAACTGAAGTTGTGTGCAACTTCAGTTGGCCTTCATGCATAGATGATGAAGGCGGAGACACACAGGAGAGGAGCGTGATGAGATAGCCCGTTGTCGTCGGTTTGGTCTTCAAATGGGAGATTGTTAGGTTGGGGGTGGATACCAACCTCCGGCGGCGGAGGAGCTCCGACGAGCTCCAGGATCAGGCGAAGTCGACGAACGCAACCCTTCGACGAAAGCACACTTCGGCGAACGCACACTTCGGCGAACGCACCCTTCGAAGTCGGCGTTCGAACCCCCCCTTTGCTCTGCGTTCGAACCTGACCTTTGCGTCAGGTTTAGCCGCTGGCGACAGGCTGTCGCCAGCTCTCCTCTCCGCCTATAAAAGAAAACCCAGGCTAGGGTTTCACAGCTGCCGAAGCTTCCCCCTCTCCTCCGATTTCTCTCTGGCGGCGAAGCCCCAAAACGCAGTCGCGTTTCCCAATTAAATCACAGCAGTGATTTCATTCATCTCCAGCTCTCAAATTGTTTTTTGAGGGGAGATTAAGAAGTGGATTAAAAAGAGAGAGAAATAGAGAATTAAAAAGAGGGATTTAATTGTGGGGTATTTATTCTCAAGTGAGAATTGAAAGGGTTCATACCCTTTGATTATTAACAATGTAGCTACAGTGTTTATTTGAGAAATCCCAGTTTAGGGATTTGCTCTTGATTTGTAATTTCTTGTTTGATTAATAAGAAATTATCTGTGTGGCTCCCGAGGACGTAGGCAGTTGCCAAACCTCGTAAATCTTGGTGTACTTTTTTCTATACTGCGTTTCTGTTGCATTAGGGGTTTCAGCGTTAAATTCCCAACAAACAAGACAAGCAAGTTTGAAGAGCTCCCAGCGTATAGCTCTATAGCATTAAGTTAAACATTTTGCTCATGCTATTAAGCTGAGACACTAGAATAAATTTGCTGAATTTCTCAACACACCCAGTGCCCAGTCAATCACAGTAAGAACAAAATTGACTCTCGACACTAGAATAAAAGGCTCATTGTTTTCATTGTGTTAACTATACCTGTGATAATCTTTAACAAAATTTCACTTCTAAACGTTTTGCCTCTGAAGGTTGAGTTCTCGTGAGAAATTAAGATCCACCCTCAAGTCATTCCAGAACGGTCGGCTTCAGTATGCTACCCATGTATCAAGATTTTTGGGTTCGAATCGGGTCCGCATAGAGGTTGCATCTTGAAGTAGCGTAAGCTTAACTCAGCAACGTCTCATTTATACCCAGGGATAAAGATTCCAAAAAACGAGAAGTCTGCATTCCTCGATGTCACCATCTACTCATGCGCCTGGGCCCAAATTAAAGGAAACCACAAATAGCACAGGGACAGCTAACATTAACAGCCACCACCAAAGTCACAAGTCCTCATTTAAGCTTGCTTAACCCAACACTCCACAAAAAAAAAAATATGACAAGTTATGACCTCCGTCAAGCCTTAGCAATATGAGCTGTCAATAGAAGAAAAAGGAGAGTGACATTATTCACTCCGCTTATTTATGCAGAGATATCTTTTCTCCGACAAAAAAATGCAGAAGGAAAGACAGATTAAGACCTATCCTTGGTTCTTCAATGTATACTCTGTTATTTATTATATGTATACATGCTATATATAGGAAGAAACGCGTGTACTAAGGGCATCTCCAACCGCTTCTCTAAAATTTTCTCCAAAATGGGGAAGCAAAAGTCATATTCTCTAAATTATTTTTACACCAACTCCAACAGCTTCCCCATTTTGAAGAATCCATTTTTTCCTCTAAAAATTTGGAGAATGCTGTAGATTTGGGGAAGCTTCCCCATTTTTTCTCCTCCATCCCTATTTTGGGAAATGAGATGGGGAATCTGTTGGACCAAAAACCTAATTATATTCTCCAAAAGTGGAAAATGAGGAAGCTGTTGGAGATGCTCTAACACCTGAGGTTAACATCTACGAGATGACAATGAATTTTTTAACCCCTTATAAATGGGGAATTAGTAATTACTCTTCTAGGCATTTCAAGAAAACAGTCCTTACAACAAAAGCATCTTCAATATTCTTGACTGAAAAGAGCGAAAGCCAATTACGAGCACGGGTATATAAAGATTTGGCAGTGAAGTGAAGAGGAGACAAAAGAAGACAACTGCCAGAAAATTGCATAAATGCACAGTAACATAGCATTAAATGAAATTGAGAAATCTATCTACACAACAAAACTTCCATGGCTGATCTCGAATTCTAGATCATGTACAATAAGATAGGAAGAAGATCGACAAGAGAAGAAAAGCTCCAGTTATATTAACACTAGAGCACAAAGAATGAAACTGAACATTTTAACTCATAGAAGTAAGATTTAGAAGAGAAGCTAGAACACAAAGAATGAAGCTAAACATTTAACTCACAGAAGCCAAAACAAAAAAATGGAAGAAACAGAAAAGAACAAAACTGCAATGACTTTGTCGTAGTACCGGAGGAAATGAAATCATGATACTATTTAAGGAGTGATATTGCAGTCTCGAAGATAACGTTGATCATAGTCCACATATTTAGACCAATAATTCCGATATTTAGGCATTCCAATTTCAAGCCAAGGCTTCATGTTTCCATTGTAGTGAATAACCGCTGCACGCTCTATGTCCCTGTGGTTCACATTTGGGTTATAGCCAAGACCCAAAACATGCCATGAATGGTTTAAAGGAAACGTTCGCTTATAAAATGTAATCAAGCCAGGTGGAAGAGTTCCCAATCTCCATAGTAGCCTATCATGGTTCTGCACAGAAAGAGTAGCCATTAATGTTAAGAGATTGTTCAATTATAAAACAAAGAAAGATTACAGTATGAATTTGTAGGGTTTGGTTTGTATAAACTAGTGTGAGCTATAGGATCAAATGAATATTTGAAATATCTGTATCTGCTTCATATGTATCTAGTATCCATATAGAATTCAGATATTCAATGTTTGCAGTAAGTATTTACCATTATTATTCCCTATTCTACTGATTTCTCATAAAACTTATTTAAAAATTAAGAAAGTTAATATTGTCATAAATAGCGTTTATGTCCATCATATTGATGTTTGGATGCTGGATAGTGGATAGGGCTGATAGTCAGATAGAAACTACTAGAATAGTTTTCAGGTCTTCAGATATTGTGGTAGGGTCTATTACTGTTTCTCCAACAATTTGAGCTCTAAGTTCATAAGTAAGAAACAAATCCTTGATTATACGATGTTAAGCCGTGACCTTCTATTTCTGCTCTCAATTTTCAATTAAGAGTTTCTAGACCTTCAGTATTTGATTTAGTTCAATGTTAAAATAGTTGAAACATTATTTGTTAAGAACTCATTTGCTTTGACTAAAGAAGTTGATTCGATTGAAAATATCTATATTTTTATTGATAATTTTCAATTACAGGGATGATGCGCACCACATAGTTTGAACATTTATCAAAGAATTTAACTTGAAAATTATTCATATAAATCTCACTTTATATTCTCCCTACGACAACATGCAGTAATGCAGATACAAAATAATATGTACAATAATCTATACTACATATAAAAGAAGATTGGGGTGTTAAAACTTTTGATTACCTCTTTTGCCCTTCCAAAACTTGATAATTCACAATAATGCCTTGAAATTTATTCAATCCATTCTAAGACAAATTTTCAAAACTAACTCTTTTTTAGATTTATTTTTAAAAATTGACCTGCTTAAGATTTATTTAGCATTTTCGACCTAGTTTCAGTCAACTAGCTGAAACTTGATCGAAAACGCTAAATAAGTTGCTAAAACTTCACAGGATTTAGAAACCCGTGAAGTTTTGCACATAATTAAGAACAGCTAATCATGAGTATGTGCAAAACCTCATGGGATTCTAAATCCTGTGAAGTTTAGCAACTTATTTAACATTTTCCGCCCAGTTTCAGCCAGGTGGCTGAAACTAGGTCGAAAATGCCAATAAAAGATAAATAGGTCGATTTTTAAAAATAAAGCTTCAAAAAGGTTTGTTTTAAAAATTTGTCCATCATTCTATTTATTACACTATATTATCCTTGCAATAAACATTGGAAATGATATTAAAAACTAAATATATATTATAAATTTTAATCATAAATTTTATTCAATTTATTCTATTTATTACACTATATCTTGTACTAAACATAAGAACTGATATATTATAATTTTTAACCAAATTAGTCTTATGTTAAATAAGATAAATATTTCACTTTAGATATTAGATATTATACAATAAATATAAAATTTTAATATATAAGATAATATTATCATAGCTTATATTTATAAATTATATCATAATTTAAGATAATTTAATATTTAATTAAACATCTAACATCTAATCCAATATTATAATATATTGATATGTGCATCTGATGTATAAAAAATCCGTTGAGAGGAATACTAATATAAATGTTAGTCTCTTGGTTTAGTTTAGAAATAGCATATAAATTATCATAATATATATTACTAACTATTGCAATATACTTATCATATTATTTGGATACGATGTAATTCTAAGCATGCGGAATTCCAAGTGGTGTGGGAAGCCATTACATTTGCTCGTAACACTAGATGTGGAAAGCTAATTTTAGAAGAAAATGTGGATGAGGTAATTAGAGATATCCATAATGGGGTAGAGCAACACTCGATTGTCGGATAGTTTTGTGATGTTGCATATGACTCTAGTAATGAGATTTTCAGGTAGTTCATCAAATGGAGAATATAAAGGCTCATGTGTTGGTCCAAAGAGCTAAGAAAATTAATCATTTTGTGGTATTGTTCAAAGACCCACCATCATTTTTAAACAACGTTTTACAGTCTAATAAGGAGCAACGTTAATCCACATTCTTTTGCTGTGCTTCTGGGTTTTCAGTTTAGTTTTGATGTCTTAATATTTTTTTCATGAAAAAAACTATTGCAATATGATAATTAAATCCTAGCTAATAAAGTAATTTATGACATCTCCCTTTCTAAACCTACTAATAATGCATTTAATATGAATTTTAGTGAGACAATTAACCCATAACTAAAGCATTCATGTATATTCTTTTAATGACTAATCAAATTCTCTTCACTAATTACGCATTAGTAATTTCACGACTAACCTACTTCCATAAACATTCCACACTTGGACAAGAGTTGCATAAAATTATGCTATATATGGATGCTCAATTGCACAAAAAGAAAATTAAAATAATCAAAAGAAAAAAAACGGAGGAAGTGAGAATTTTGACAGTGGAGTCAGTCCCTCGATTATAATAATCAAGATATCTTGCAGTCAATAATATTTCACAAACAATAATTAACAGAGAAAATTGCATTACATTTTTTTGGATGAAACAAACATATTTGCAACCGATTTCACCTCCAATTTATGTAAAAAATATCAATCTATTAGTTATACAAGTATGCAAATTTGTGGAGAGAAAAACTAACATAAATGTTAATAAATTCATGGTGAGTAGGTGGCTAGGGGCTCTATTTGAGTCCTTTTCATTGTTCTCAAAAAAAGTCGTGGGCGAGTGCAATGTGAGATGGACTTCAAATGTTTTTAGTATCATATCATTACTGAATATGCATCACGTGCAAAGCACGTGTTAAATACTAGTAAAACTAAATGAATATTCAATAATCAAATGGATAAAATATGTGAACTATCATATTTAATTCAGTTATTAAGCAAATAATATAACATATTTTTTCATTTTAATTAAACAACCATCAAAAAAGAATTAACAAACAAGTGGACAAATAATACGAAACTATTCAATTATTCGTTCAAATTCCACCTCTCGTCTCACCTCTAAGATACTAGTTATGCACCTCAATAAGCTTGAATTTAAATTTGTACTCCTAGAAATAAGTGAGACTTAACCAACAAAACAAATAAGCGCTAATTGTTTTTGACATTATTAGAATTATTTAAGCATTATTTTTTGTATGTAGGTCAAAAAGTCTAGTGTAAATGAGTCTATCACATGGGGTTTAGATCAATAACAGTTTATATACGGAAGTAATCCACAATGTGATAGTTTTAAAAAATATAACCATAAATTATATAGTAAAATAACACAAAAATGTACCAAACTAAAAGGTTCCCGTAAAAGAAAGTGTCAGATTTTACTGGGATAGTATCAGATTTTACTAAGAAAGCATGGAACCATGAAAACAATAGGAATCAATAAGGAGATCTGTCTTACCAAATTCTGCCAAGAGTGGTAAATCTCTGTGATATTTTGTTTCCTCCACTGATCCAAATCAAACACATTCATCCCATATGCCCACCCACAAGCACGAGGGTTGAAATTTTTGGCGATAAGAGGATGCGAGAAGTTAAGATACCGATCAAATCGGTGAAAGCTCTCCCTACAAGTCTCAACAGCACCATTGACCTTTCCCTTGAGATCGATCTGCCAAAGACCCATGAGATCCTTCTGGACTACAATATCATCATCTAGAAACACCACTTTATTAAGCTTAGGAAACATTTCAGGAAGATAAAAGCGCAGATGATTCAAGATCGATAAGTATTTTGGATTTCTAAACTTCAAATTTGAATCAGTGTTCCCACGATGAGTACGAAAATAATAATCAATCATGGAACGAGACCCAAGCTGCTTTAGAACTGGACTATAGCTCTCATTTAGCCATGTAAACTCTTCAATGTTCTGAACTTGGATTGTAGCTCTCCCTGGTGGATTAGCTAAAAACCACATCCTCATTGCCGCATAATTAAGCCTATCAGTTACTATGTGGAAAACATGGTCTGCGGGATGCTGAAACAAAGAGAAAGGTTGTGTAGTTAGGGCAAGAAGAGTAGCAGTAAAGAGAAGGATTAATTTCAGAAAACATCCCTGGACCGGAACTTTTTTATTCCACTAAATCCCACTTAAAAATATCTCAGTTAATCCCCTAAATTAGCACCATCACCTAACATGTCATGTGACAGACAGGTGACAAAAAATGAAAATAACCCTTTCGTCCCAAAAAAAATTATCCTTTTGTTCTCTTGAATAAAAGGTTGCGGCTGAGAAGGAACACTCTGTTTTCCCCCCTTTCATGTGCTTGGCACATTACATGATAGAGTTGATGG